TCGTGGGACGCGCGAGGCAACGGAGAAGCAAAGACGCAGAGTGACCCGGCCGACTACAGGAGCCCGCGTCATAGACAACCGTCACTTTTAACCACACCTCGAGGGTGACTGTCACTGAGCTGGGGATTCGCAGTGCTCTTGTTTTCTGCCACATAGCCTAAACATTGCCATTTTCCACCATGCGCAGTACGGGTTACGTAACGAGGAGAGCTTAGGGAGTCTATCCCTCTGGCGTTCCAGTGTTATGACATGTGGACCTGCAGGGAGTGAGAACAGAGGGAAGGGGTGTGGCTGCGGGCCTGGGGCCCACTCACACTGGACAGGTCCCAGCCACTGGCCACTGCGGTGCGTGCAGGGCTCAGGACCGAAGCCCGCTCGCTTCTCAAGGCCTTGCAGGGCCAAGACGTCCTGTTCCAAGAACCGCATTTCTCCGTTCCTCCCCCTCATATCAGACGCGAGAGAGAGGTCAGAGAGCCTAGCGTCCCCGTGCCACCCCAGAGCAGGGAGGGCAGGACAAGGACCCTGGCCACACCCGGCCAAGGCGGTCCTCTCTCACGAAGCGAAAGTGAAGACTGTGTCACCGAGGCTGTGCCGTGGGACAAGGGCAATGGCACCCTAACCGTCTCCATGCCTGGGGGTTCCTGTCATGGTAGTCAGTCCCTCCCGGCCAGAAAGGGGACAGTGCCACCTCCTCCAGCCAGGTACCGTGTGTGCTGGGACGTTTTACCGCGTGCTTGGTGCGGGCCAGCACTTGAGGCCCCAGTGAACCCTGCACGGAAGTGGCCTGAAACCTACCAGGGAGCGCGTGAGTGTAAGTGAAAACCGCGGATGTCGACGTTATGTAGAAACATACGTGTTCTTTTCATACTGTTCTCTTCTCGCTGTGATTTGTTTCTGAAATATTTAGATTATACACAATGCTTTCCAGTGTAGGAGAAAAAGTCAAAGTTGACCTGAATTTGACATGTCTGTTTAATTAACTAAACGATGGTATAAAACTGAACATCTAAACATCAAAAACGTAGGAAAAAAATTTTAAGAACTGGTAGGAAGACTTCTACTCAGCTGGCCCAGTTTAAGCCAGGCACCACCTGCCCCCATTCCCTGTGCTCAGACAACGTTCTTAGCATTTCTAACGAACAGCAATGTCCTTGGGGCTAACATACCGCTCTCGGGGAGTCCTCAGTGTCCACGTGGCCTGGACAGACGTCCTGGTGTGGCTGCCCGCACCTTGTCCTCAGCAGTGGCCTCTGCACGACCGTCCCTACGATAGGAGAGAAGGAAGGAGCAGTTAGTGGGACCGAGATGCTTCACGCTGAGCTCCACTCCGGCACGTCCACACCGTCCACGACCACCTAGGGCTGACCTGCACTCCCACGGGCCAACCACCCCTCAAGGGTGGATGCTTCAACATGAAGTCTGCTTTTAAGGAAATGGAAGGTCCAGGGTAGGAGTGAGCAATGGGTTGGGCACCTAGGTCCTGGCCTCTGCTCCAGGGGTGGGGCTGAGATGCCCAGGACATGGCCTGCAAGGGCAGCGTTCAGATTCCGGCCGGCGGGGCGTGTGGGTTCAAACAGAGCTCGCCAAGCCACCCAACTTCTCTGGGGCCGCACATGACAGGAACAACGGCAGTAAAGGAACGAGGGGGAGGTGGCCGGCTTCCCGACTCTCGGTGCACGCGGACACCGGGGGACTGCGGGGAGGACAGTGACCCTTGGCAACATCGACGCAGCTTTTCCTGCCGACGCACACTTGGTTCTGGTTTTAGCAGATCCGAGGGAGGGGGGAGGAGACGTGGCGCTCTTCTACGCTGTCAACTCGGCGTACTCCTCAGGGTCTACCTGGAATGCCCTCCCTGCCCGGCTCTCACTCCTGCCGAGTCCAGCCTGCTCAGTGCTATCATGGGATGAAGAACAGGGAGGCTCCTCCTCCCGAGGACAACAGCTGCTGCACCACCCTAGCTGAGAACAGGCGTCATTCCCGGGGTCCTAGTGGCTCAGAGATGCCGAGCCCCCGAGGCACAGCTGGACCACGGCCAGCAGGGATCAAGATCTGTTCTTTTTATCTCCCTTGGTTTTCTTTTTTTTTTTTTTTTTTTTTTTTTTTTTTTTTTTGCTATAGGGCGTGTGCGCTCTCCAGACAGACAGAGACAGAAAGATAAAAAGCGAGAAATCACCCCCCGGGGGGATGGCACGCCGCAATCCCTTCTCCTCCATTCTCCTCTCGGGATCCTGGGCACGTATGCACACGCGCCCAGTGTGAGTTTTAAGCCACTGGGTCCGGGACCCGATCCACAGTCGACTACGTGGGAGGCCAGCGACATGGCCTTTACGCTAACTGCTGGTCCCTATTTCCCTTGTTTCTAAAAGTTTCTTGCTTTAGTGCTTTCATGACAGAGAGAGAAAGGCACAGGAGAAACAGCCATGATGAGGTCTCTCCACACCATGATCCCCACCTCCCAGCCACTCCCACTGCAGGTGCACACAGTCACGCAGGTGTCCTCAGGGTGACCCAGGATCTGAACCGGGCCTCCCAGGTGGCTACACTGACGCCCTGACTCCTTGCCACGGTGGCCCGGCCAAGACGTGCTCTCTGACGCACGGCTTCCCTCTGGTTCCGGGACCCTCAACCCGGCGACCCAGCGACCTGGTGCTCGGTGTTCTCAGCCCAGAAGTGTGGAGAATGCACTCTCCCCTTCAGCGTTGCCAGGAGTGCATGTGCTCGCCAGAGAGGGAGGGAGGGACCCCAGCGGAGCAGCGTCACCCCAAGTCCTCCTCTGTTCTCTGTTCTGCTGAGATTTGAAAACCACGCACATGCCCAGGGTGTTTTTCGAGCCGCTAAGGCTAGGATCTGAATGGTGGCTGGCCACTGGCTCTCTTAGCCAGCAGGCTGTGGGGCTGCCCCGGAAGACAATCAAGGACTCTTCCAGAACAAAGCCATTATCGCTAAATCGTGGAAACCACTTTGGATCATTCAGAAGAAAAGGAATGTATGTATGCTTTCAACAAAAGCAATACAGATATCGAGTTGCTGATGGCTTCCAATAAATAGGTCAAGGGAGACAGAGAACCCATTAGAAGATATTTATGAGAGCTTCTAGTCTTAGTTTTCATTTATAACTGAAAATGGCAAGAAATCCAACTCCTGCTGGGGCTCTGGCCCTGGGGAATTAGTGGTCCGACGAAAAGGGCGGCGTGCCTGCCACGCCGGGGCAGCTGGAGCGCGTCTGCGGCGATGGCAGCACCAGGGGCTGGCCACAGAGTGTGCTCACATGCCAGCTGTGGGGGCCTCCAGCGCTCAGAGCCCAGCTGCCCTTCACGTGAAGGCCACCAAGGAAGGAGGGCAGAAGGGCAGTGGCCTGGCAAAGCTCCACACCCACGCCCTCTTACCTGCTGCCCACCTCCCTGAGCCCAACACCCTCTTACCTCCCGCCCACCCTCTCTGAGCTCCACACCCACCCTTTACCTCCCGCCCACCCTCTCTGAGCTCCACGCCCACCCTTTACCTCCCGCCCACCCTCTCTGAGCTCCACGCCCAGGCCCTTACTGCCCGCCCAACCTCGCTGACCTTCATGCCCACGCCCTTACAGCCTGCCCACCCTCCCTGAGCTCCATGCCCAGGCCCTTACGGCATCCTTACTGCCCGCCCACCCTCGCTGACCTCCTCGCCCACACCCTTACTGCCCGCCCACCCCCACTGACCTTCACAGGCCCTTACCGCCCACCCACCCTCACTGACCTCCCCGCCCGGCCTTCTTACCACAGGACAAGACAGACATGGGGGCTGGGTGGGACCACAGCGATGAGGACGGGCCTCCCATGGGAAGGTTCTAAGCTCAGGTCCCGGGTCCCCAGCCTGGTTGCGCTGCACAGGGAGGCCCTGTGGGGGGCCGCCTCTCTCCCTCTCGCTTTCACAGAAAATTAAAAAGAACTCAGAAAAAAGAGGAATGAAGACCTATGTAAATGGTGCATATGTACACCCTCACGTCTGTATTTCATTTGCTCTTTATTTCTGCTATAGGGCAGGTGCGCTCACTGGAAAGACAGACAGACAGAGGGATAGAAAGGGAAAAATCGCCCCCGGGGGGATGGCCAGGCCGCAGTCCCTTCTCCTCTCGGGATCCTGGACACGCATGCACATGCACGCAGCGTGAGCTTAAGCTACCTGGCCCTAGATGCACACCATGGTGGACCACATGGGAGTTTGGCAACGTAACCACTACGCCATCTGCTGGTCCCAGTTATTCGATTTAGAAGACATTCAGGTTTATCAAAACAGATTTGGGGATTTTGTTATCTTATTTTTATTAGTGACAGAATTTCAAGAGTTCAGGGTGACTCTCACTTGGACCAGTCTCCTCTAAGATACCGTCTCTCCTCCTGAGCCAAGTTCTAGCTCTCGGTAAGCTAGCTAGCTGCCTTTCAAACGCGCATCCCCTAGTAAATCAGCGGTTACGCCGCGGTGCCTTTTAAACACACAGCAGTGTAGACGTCCTGGCGACCGTGGGAATGCTAACGGAAATGTATGCGAAGTTCGGGGGCCAGCCCTGCCACCCGAGGGCAGCGGTGACGTTGACTAGGCCGGAGAGCTCAGCAGAGCAAACTCTGAACCCACACTGCCACTGAGAGGCCTATGGCCACCCACGCCCCACCACGCTGTCCCCCTCCTGGCCTTCTCAAAACAGACCTCGGGTTTAGCTTCAGGTACACCATTTGGCCCCCTCTTATGAACAGGCGAGAGCTCTGCCGTCTAACCCTCACTGCAAGGCACCGCTGTGTTCCAGACGCCGGAAGGGACTAGCACGAGACCCTGCAGCTCGTAACTGAGTAGGACCGGAACCCCGACTTCCATTCCAGTGTGTGCGATCACACAGCGCCCTCACTCGTCGGCGCAACTAACGGTAACTTCAAAAGTGAAATAAAACCATCCCGAACTAAATAGAGCAGTCCTTGGAAACACTGAGCCAAGTGTTGCTCGTTGCTGGGTCACCTCCAGCCACGCCACCCACTGTGGCAGCCACCAGCAGCTGTGCCCCCGAGTGC